GGGTGTTACGCACAAACAATGAATCATGGAACACTTCATCTAAAAATAATGATGTAATGTATGGGGATTAACATAAGAATAAAAAATAATAATAATAAATAAATTAATTAATTAATTAAAAAAAGAACTCCTGCTCTTACAGAGGCAGTGACAGTGAAAGGGACACCGTTATAATAAAGATGCAGATGCATCGAGAACACAAAGGAAAGGGGACTGAGGGAGTCGGGGAGGGCTTCTAGGAGGAGGCCAAGCCTATGCGAAGCCTGGAAGGAGGAATGAGAATGGCAGCTGAAGGGGTGTGGGAGTGAAAGCTGAACAACAGCCTGGAAGGGAGAGAGAGACACACAGTATTCACAGGACTGCAATGAGCTCAGAGTAGTGAGAGCACGGAGTGTGCATGTGTATGTGCGTGCACAGAGGGGAGAGGTGACAAGTAAGGAAGAGAGATTTTCTGGCACTGCTCATGGATTCTCTGAAGGTGTGACAAAGACAGTGGTTTGGGATCTACCTCTCAACCCCTAGGAGGGGAGGGCCCTTAACCCAGTCGTTACCAGAGTGGGCTCTGGAGCCAGAGAACCTGAGCTAAGGTCCTAGGTCTGTCATTTTCTAGCTGGGTGACTTTGGGTGATTTACTCTCTGGGTGTCTGTTTCTTCATCTATAAAATGAGAATCATCATCATCCCTATCCCTTAGAATTGTGACATCTAAGTGACTTAGGACAAACACTACCTGGAACACAAGAAAGCTCCACTTTTTTTTAAAGAGCTATTGTTACTGCTCTGAAGGTCTAACATAAGATAAAAAGAAAGTATTTCCTCAGCTGCATTTATAAACACATAGGATCTAAGATCCAACAGAGCCTGGATTCTAGAGCCACATTACCTGAATTCAAAGTTAAGCAAGGTAATTTGGGGCAAGCTAAGTAATCTCCCTGTGCCTTGATTTTCTTATCTGTAAAAGAGGGATAATAATAGTAGCCATCTCATAGGTTTGTTGTGAGCATTAAATAAGTTAATGCATGAAAAACACACTCAGAACCACACATTATACCTAGTCATAAGAAGAAAAAAATACTTACATAGCATTTACTGCATGCCAGCCATGTTCTAAATGCTTTTCACTTAATTATTATTATTTCTTATATGTGTTAAGCTAGCACCTGAATAGCTCCAAAACCTATTTGCTCACCCTCTGTGAAAAGAGAACAATCATTTCTGCCTTTAGTTACTTATGTAAGAAGTAGGCTGATCAAGGTAAAAAATATTTAATGCCCTTGTGAAGAGAGGTGTCCTAGAAAGTGGGTGGTGGTCCGGTTCTCATCACCCTTGAGGTCATTCTGGAAGCCCAGCCCATGTCCGTCCAGACTCACAGGGAGGTCACTTACCTTCAGGGGCAGTGGTGTCTTCAGAATTTTCTCTGCCCTGGTCAGCTTGGTTGGCAACTGTACTCCCACTCTTTGTCCTTCGAAGAACACTCAAAGCTCGGTTTATTTTTTTAAAAGATCTGCTTCTGATAGTGGATCGCTCAAAGGGCCGTGCTGAGGACAAGAGAGAAGGAAGAAACAGTAGCTACACAGTCACAGAAATCCTCTTTTATGTGCATGTCTGGTCAGATATATACAATAACACAAGACATAGGTGGTAGAATGATGCGATTTGCTTCTCTGTTCTGTCTCCGTTTTCTACAGTGAAATATGTAAGGTTTAAAAACCTGCGTTTCTTTTTTGCTGGGCTGGACTGAAGGTAGCAGCACTTTCCTTGAGCAGCATGGATGGGAAGGTGCCAACACTATGGGGTGGTGAATCATCAGGCCCAACTCTACCCCTTCCACTAAGTTTGATTACATATTTTTAATGATCTGAGGTACTTATGGTTTCATTTCACTTTGGAGAATTAGACATTGGATTGCTGCTGAAACTGCCAGAATGATTTCCCCTTAAAAAAAAAAAATGTCTAGAATATTCTACAGTAAATATTCCACAGAGGGCAATCTCAAGGCAAGGAGCCCATTCCCAGACAACCACCCATTTGACTCACCCCTAGTTCGGTTGCTCCGGCCAGAGTCCAAAGGGCTGTCTGCTGGCTGACCATCCTCCGCTGTGGACACGTAGGCAGGGTTGTCTAGGCCAGGCTCATTTGTCACCAAGGAGACAGTGGCAGCTGCAGAGACCTCTGGGGAGAGTGCTGTTGCTGTGAGGCTCACGCAGCCGTCTGGGCAGCCATCTTGAGAGCGCCTCTTCTTGTCTTTGGTGAGGCCATAGTGGGAAGCACCCTTACAGCTGTAACAAACCAATAAGAGGTCAGAAAAGGCTTTCGCTTTGCTCATTGTTCAACCCGGCTTCTTCACGTACACATGCTTGCTGCACTTGGAACGGGAGTTGTTCACTCCTATGTCCCACCCCCCACCTTATCACATGTAGGTACTCAATATACACTCACCAACTAGATGATCTAATGACTTGAGGAAACAATTTTTAAAAGATGTTTTTGCATTCTCCTAAAGCGCTCTCAGTACACTGGCCTCTGGCATGCAAATGTATATAGTTGTCATGGTGTCTACAATACTAGAGCTTGAGGTGGGCACTCTTCAACTGTTTGGACTTAGTAATTCTCTCTTGTTGGTGTTTATTTTGACCACAAAAGCCCTTAGTCACACTCAGTCCTTTCTTTTGGGTTTGGTTCCCAAAGCACTGAACATAAATACAAAGCTCCTCCCAGATTCCATATTTAACTGTCTGTGGAAACAGAATCGCCATCACCACAAAGCCACAGGGGTTTACTTAGCATTGGTATTCTCTAGAGGCAAGCTTGCTGGCTTCCATGCTCTACCTCTGGGCTACTGGCCAGAACCAGGGGCCAGGGGCTCCTGCGCACCAAAGTCCCATTCATTGTCATGTCTTCTAACATTGGGAAAGTAAAACTACATTCATGGTCTCTAAAAAGAAAACCATAATTGTCTATAACCATTCACTCCCCATGTTGAGGAGCAGGCCCAAGGGCCAGGAGGCCAAAGTATAAGCAGATCTAGGTCCATATTTTGCTGTGAATGTACATACATGTGTCACTGAGAAGGTCATTTCAGCTCTTAGGGTTTTGGTCAGAAGATGGGGATGAGTTGACGATCTCATTGTACTGTGGTGAGCAAGTAGCTGCAGATGGCCACACCAGCTCCCACAGTTGTTGTGAAGGCAGAAATCATGAGGGTGAGCCCCTTTAAGAAATGGCCATTTGCTTATAATAGATGTGCTAATTATAAATTATTTTTATCAATTCATTATAGAAAATCTTATGTGGTTGAGCTATTTTAAATTACCCTCTGAGAGCCTATTTGGAGGGATGCTTCACATTCTTGAAAGTAAAAGGAATCCAACAGCAGTCTACAGTTGATATGCACACAATTTCATAGCCTGTAGAAACAGAGCTAGTGGATAGAATGGCTTACTGTCTGGTTCTGAATCCTTGCTCTGAAATTTACCTGTGTCTCGGGCAATTTTGTTAACCTGGTTAAACTTCCTAATCTACACATACATTTGGGGCTGCTGTGAGGTCGGGTCGATATTTTAGTACCCTGCCAGAGATATAGTAAGTTATCAGGAGATTGTAGCTACTTCTGTAATCAATCCATTCTGGGATGCTTGTTTGTTCATACTCTAACATCTCTGAGATTAGAATGCATGGGTGATGGAGTCGTGCAGCTTCTACTGTGCCAAGCTGCAGTCATGATGCAGATACCGTTATCTGAACAGGGCAGACACAGTCACAGGGTGGGGAACATCTTCTAACTTCCATTGAGTTGCGTCCATTCTTGGCACTTTGCCATTGAACTGAATTGGCATTCAATGTCTTAGAAAAGATTACATTATGATTCAGCACTGAAATGAAAAGTTACTGCATATACAGAAAGCCTCAAAAACAGAGTAGTGGCGCCTAAGTTTGATGTTGATGAAGCAAATATTCATTGTTAGGAGAATAGCAATTCCATATTTTCTTGCAAAGAGACAAGCAAATGCTTTATTTGCTTAGAAAGAAAGATGTCCCCAAGGAGATAAAAAGTGGTGTTATATTTCGTTACTGAGACCATTCAGTAGGATTGGACTATTTCATGCCAAACAATACAACTAGAGGGCAGGAGAGGTCACCAAATTTGTCTGAATGGATTTCAAAGTCCTAGGAGTCCAATGTGACCAATCCACACACTGCATGCAAATCTTTAAAGGTGTTTTGGAATAATGTAACCAGTGACAATATTTAAAACTGTTGGTACGTAAAATATGTTTCGTATGATCAATGGCATCTTAGATCTGATGAAATGTGGTTTTAATATTAGTAGAAACGGACTTTGATTATACAATCCCATACCCTTATCTTACAGAAGATGAAAGAGGCCTCCAGTTTTTAATGCTAGTCTTTTTCTCACTGAAAAAGTTCAAGCTCCTTGCTTGAATTGGTAAGGTTTTATTGTTCTGATTAGCTACTTTGGCTTGAAATTGTTCTGCTTAAAAATAGCAAACTGGTTGATATGGGAAACTGAAAAATTGGAAGAACTGTGTGATGGAAAAAATAAAAGCCAGCATGCATTTGAACAGTTCCAAAGTCATAAATACATGAGTGGAACACTTCTACCCAAGCCAGCAATATTTGGTTAGCAATGCATGGGAAGGAAGTTCCTAGACTATTTAGTTGGACTGGAAACAGTCTTTCTTTTCTTGGGGCAGCAATGCCCTTGACCATGTGCCCTGCCAGAACAGGAAATGAATTTCCCAGTTGGACAAATGGCTGTAAGTCATGGCTTCCTGGGAGGACATAGCATATCCCAGTGGAACAAAGGGACATCTTATTTTGCTGCCATGACCCTGTGGAGGATTAAGGTATTTAAAATCTCTGAATCTGAAGACTATACCATTAAGAAAAAATTGCTGTTCCAAGTCCTTGGGGTTCCAGGGTCACGTTTTTTAGTCTAGGAAAGGAAAACCTTATAAAATGGGTAAGTAATCTTCCCTGTGGCCTCAAATCATAGCTATCCTTACAACAGTTTGTGTGTGTATGTGGGGGGGGGGGGAGGTACAGAATCTAGAATTAAACTTTCAGACTCATATGCCTTGAATAAAAAATGTTCTGCTAAAGCAACCCATAACTGTGTGATGTTGCTTCCTCCAGTTTCTTGGCTTAGCTTGAATCCAAGGCACAGAATCATCTATGAAGGTAGCAGCTTGTACTTACTAATTATCTCTTTTGTGGTGATTAATACTGAGGCCTCTTGATTTATAAGCACAAAAGAGGGGAGGAGTGAGGAAGAGCTGATTAACACTGGCCAGTACAAGAACATACAGTGAACCCTGGGTTGTGTTCAAAGGAAGCAGGATTTATTCTCCCTTTTAGTTATCCCAAGCACTAAGTACTCTCAGGTGGTGATGGGTGATGGCCATGAACTTGAAGGATGAACACAAGGAACATAAAAAACCCATTTTTCAACCAAACTATGTACTTTGGATATGCCATCTGTTCAACAAAGCAACTCTGAAAATCAATTATTATTATTATTTTTGGTAATAAAGTACTGGGATCCTGAGCTCCTATATCAAAGTTAGCAGAGGCAAATCAGTCTTAATATAAGAAGTGGACAATGGATGTGCCATGGAATTTTTGCCTTTTTTTTTTCTGCAAGGGGATGGGGAGCAAGAAGAGAAAATGAACTCTTTTCTTGCAAAAATTCCGGAGTCCATGAGTTTGCTACTGACAGGAGTTGACCTGAAGCTGGATAGACCCTAACATAATTCACAGAGGCTCTGATGGGGTGTCCTGCTGAATTCAGCCAACCAGGAAGCACGAGCTGCTTTGCAGTGGACGGCTCCCTTCTGACAGTGAACTTAACCACTTAGGATAGAAGAATATACATTGCCTGTAAGTAAGAGCCTCAATACCTCATCATAATAGTCTGGCTAACTATGCAACCTCCCTTTGATCTAACTTCCCTCACATTCTTTCTCTCTGTTCACTTCTGAACTAGGTAAACATCAAGTCTATTCTTCATATTGAGTTCATTAATTGCCCAGTCTGATCCTACTTTAAGCCTTTTTTTTTTTTTAAAGCTTTTATTTATTTATTTGACAGAGAGAGGCACAGCGAGAGAGGGAACACAAGCAGGGGGAGTGGGAG